AAGAAAATAACTATAATATTTTGCTCTACTCTTTTGTGTCGAGCACTGCTAAGAACACCGGATTATAAATCTTACTGTTCTTTCTTCTTCTTATATATGTGTGTGTGTGTGTGTATTTAGGCAGTATGAATGTGAGTATCAATGGATTTTATTAAAAATTAGCAGACACAGTGTCTGTAATTTATTTAATCATATATATATATGTTAAGAAATGGACAAGGTCCGACAATTTATTTATTAAAGACATTTTTTTATGTTTAACGTTATTTTATAGATACAAGTATTTAAGCAAATGCTCTGTTTATGATAAACAGTATTAAATAACATTTACCGGCCTGAATGTCCGAGAAATTTTCATAGAAAATATTCGTTCTTTGACAGGATTCGAACCTGCATCCTATACGGAACCGTCATATACGCTGACGTGCCTTTACCTCTAGGCTACAAAGAACCAATCGGTAGACAAGGTCGAATTTACTGCTTATAAACTCCAATCTTCCATGAATCTCGTACATTCATAACTGCTCTGGCGTATCGAATGTAAACAAATGACGTCATATGTTAAGAAATGGACAAGGTCCGACAATTTATTTATTAAAGACATTGTTTTATGTTTTTGTATCTATAAAATAACAACGTTAAACATAAAAGAATACGATGGACATAAAAACACAAGTCTTATTCAGAACAGATAAAAAAAATTTTTCAGTTATCTGTTCTGAATAAGACTTGTGTTTTTATGTCCATCGTATTTGTCATATTGAACTGAATTGTATTTTGATGAATATTGTCTTGAAAAAGGTTTATTAAACCGAAACGTCAGACGTCGACATTTCTTTCATTTTAACTACATTTAAGGATTTTTGTTTGTTTTTTCAAAATTTCTTCATTCTGTCGGATTTATATCCATTTACACTTGCTTATATATATATATGTATATGTATATATGTATATATATATATATATGTATATATATATATATATATATATATGTATATATGTATATATATATGTATATATATATATATATATATATATATATATATATATATATATATATATATATGTATATATATATATATATATATATATATATATATATATATATATATATATATATATATATATATATTCACGATGACTGTTGTGAATATACCGCTGTGCAAATATTCGTTATTTCACTAACAAGAATCCATAAAGTCGATAATTACCTGTGATTTATATTTTCGTAACTTCATTTTTTTATTTCCATTTCATAATTTATATTTACTGATTCCTTTTTTTTTTTTTTTATCAATCTTGAAACTTGTCCATTATGGTATGAATGACTTTTCCAATCCCTCAGCAGATGGTATTTGTTACGCATCCGAGATTTTCCCCGTTTGATCATAATCTTTACAAATGTAACGACCGACGTTTTTGTAGAACGTGGGCTCCATTCAGATATGGACAGTTAACTGACGAAAAGGTGCGCACAGGCTGCCAATTTATAATTTTCAAAGTTTTCGAATTTGCATTCAGCGGAAGTTCTCTGACAAAAGAAGGACCTTCTCTTCTCAAGGCTGGTAATTCCTGTCTATTATACGAATACGGCTACATTTCTATACTGAACGCCCCGGTTACAGCAATGACATCACACACACACATACACACACAGACACACATATATATATATATATTATAATTATTTTCTTTTTAAAAATATGATTTCTTCGCGACACAGAAAATTTCCATGTTTCAAAAATGAAACTAAATTTATAAATTTTAATTTTTAAATTAAATTTGTTATTTAAATTAAATCTGATTAAATAAAATTTTAATTTTCAAACTAAATTTATAAATTTTGATTTTTAATAATTAAATTTATAAATTTTGTTTCAGTTTTGAAACATGGAAATTTTTCCTGTTGCGATGGAATTTTAATTATTATATATATATATATATATATATATATATATATATATATATATATATATATATATATATATATATATATATATATATATGTCTCTCTCTCTCTGTCTCTCCCTCTCTCTCTCTCTATATATATATATATGTATAAATGTATGTATGCATGTATTTAGGCAGTATAAACGTGAGTATGAACGGATTTTGTCAAAATTAGCAGACATAATGTCTGTAATTCATTACATCATATATATATATATATATATATATATATATATATATATATATATATATATATATATAATATGTGAAAATATATAGAAAATAGGAAGGAACTGGTTAGGTGAATAGTCCAAAGTTCCTTAGTATTTTTGTTATTATTTTTAAAAAATCGTGCTCGATACAGAAGTAGAGCATAAATATAATTATTTATTTAAAAATATGATTCCAAATCGCTACATAAGAGGTCTCATGTTTCAAAACAAGAGCCGAAAACTTCAATATAATCCTTTAAATTAAATTGAGTTGAAATTAAAAAGGGCTCCGTTCCATCTTCAAGCGAGTTTTTTGTTGGAATAACGTATATCTGAAATTTACTTGTTTTAAAAGTTGAAATCAAAATCACCATGGTAACAGTTAGGGCGAATTGTCTAAAATGGGTAGGCGAGTGTAGGGTGTTAATGATGAGTGGCGGTATAGAGATACTTTCAAGGTGTCAAGTCGGGGGAAGGTGGGGTGTTAAAAAAGAAACGAAGATGTATTAAGCTTTCGTCAAGTTGGCTTGTCTATGGAGATTTATTTATTTATTTTATTTTATTTTATTATGAAAGGAATTGTGCTTATAAAAGAAAAACTTTCGTGGCGTTTGTTTTTTGACGACTTCATAAAGGGTTATCTTTTAGGTAAGGTATTTAAACTACTAATTTGGGCTATGTATTATGAAGGGTGTTATGTTGTATGCAAGTTTGTAGTTAATAATTTCTACTATGAATCTGATGATTGGGTTATTTGTTAAACAAGTTATATTTTTTTTTTTTTTTTTATTTCAAACCAAAAATCTGATGATGCCTACAAAAACCGTTAACTCGTGTCTATTATTTAATAGATTATTATTATTTAGAAGTTTAATAATGTGTAATTTTTCATGGAGGCACAAAGGGCATGGGTCATCCCCAAGCCTTACATGTTCTAGCCTTGTCAATAATTTTCCATTTAACTTTTGGTGTCTTATTTGTTTCCTTCAAGTGCCAAAAATATTTTGATAGTGAAGTCTGGTTTCTTTTTGTTTATATTATTAAAGGAGCACTTATGCTGCCTCCATCTATCTTTAAAATTATTCTTCGTGGACCCAATGTATATCATATTAGTGCTAGGGCTCTCTGTGGATGAAATAGTACATTGGTATACCACAGAGTTAATACAACATTTATTTTCTAATGGGCAGTCTTCTGGGTTTCTACAGTTACATAATTTTTCCTATTATCATCTGATTTAAGTGTAGAGTTTTTATTAATACTGTTTTGGCATGGGGGTTTGTTCAAGATCTTATTATTGTGTTTTTTTATTATGCGTTCAAGATTATCAAGCAGCTGTAGCTCAATTTTAGGGTGTTCTTATTGAATATATTACTAAGCTTACTATTGGTGGGGAAGTGTTTATTAATTAGAGCTAAGAATTTCTGTCCTAGTTTAATACTAACCCTTTGGTTGAACGGAGGGGTGTACCATATGAGACCTCTTATGTAGCGATTTGGAATCATATTTTATATATATATATATATATATATATATATATATATATATATATATCACGATGACTGTTGTGAATATACTGATGTGCAAATATTCGTTATTTCAATAACATGATTCGAGAAGTGTTGGTCATTACCCGTGATTTAAATTTTCTTGCGTCTGTTACAAAATTTCTTTTCCAGAATAGATAAAGAAACAAAGAAAAAAGAGAAATAGAAACAAAGAGAGAAACATAGAGAGAAAGTGAGAGAAAATTAGCTTGAGAGATAAATTATCATTCTGAGATAGGTAGATATAATAGGATAACGAACAAACAGTAAATATATATAAATCTTCCATGTTCAACTTTCATTAATGCTTCAACAGAAAATGTGATATATCTAAACACGAAATTCTATTATGTTATTTTACTTTTTACTCTGAGTGTAACCCTTTATTAGGCTCGAAGCAACTCAAGGTAGAGTGTTACAGAAATAGGCACGGTTCGCGAGGAGAGGTGGGGAAAATAACAGTTAACCCTAAACATGAACAGGTTAAGATTATTGTGATCGGGGAAACGTCCTCTTGGGAGTCTCTTCCGTAGGGCAGTGGTTCGCGGGAAGAATCTACTCGAGTGGAACTTACTTCTCATAAATGGAATACGGATGGAATGAATGTGGCTTGCTACAAAGTGGGCCCTTCTCCTGAAAGTTATAACTGGCGGAAGTAAGGAATAGAGTTAATCTATTTTTGTGCTCTTTGTTTGTTATTGGTAGGTATAAATATTATTGAGATAAGTACACAGCCAGACAGATAGATAGATAGATAGATTTGTATTCTCTAATGAATCGTCGTCCACTGCCAAATCTTAAACAAGCGTTGTATTTTCTCTTGTTTCATGCCTTTTGCTATGCTATGGCTGCATTGTTGAAGACATAAGCACTGAATGAGGCGGTGGCTAGTCTTACCACTATTGACTTCTAATGTTTCTGATGATGGGTGGCTGGATTCAGTACTAACATAACTTGTGGTAATTTGTGTCTTAATAATAGGTCTATAAGTATTCCATAAATACTTTCATAGTAGTTCTTCTGATGAACTTTCCTCTATGCTGCCAAGACGAATGAATTTAAGCGCAGTACGAAATTGAGGGAAAGTTAACATTATTTTACACATGTAACCGCCATTTCTATGCTTACAGTTTCTTCTGTCACATTTTCTCCTTTGTGGGAGTCACTTCCGGTGTGTAGCTTCCCACTTAACTTTGATATACAAAGTTATAAGTGTAATGTCGGCGTTATCCTTCTTAATTTTTTGTTCTTTAGTCTTCTCTCTTCACTTAATAGCATTTTCATCACTCATTTATAAATAGATGGATAGAAATGTACTCAGATAGATAGATAGATAAGTAGGTAGGTAGATAGATAGATAAGTAGGTAGGTAGATAGATAGATAGATAAGTAGGTAGGTAGATAGATAGATAAGTAGAGAGATAGATAAATAGGTAGATAGATAGATAGATAGATAGATAAGTAGGTAGATAGATAGATAGATAAGTAGATAGATAGATAAGTAGGTAGGTAGATCGATAGATAGATAAGTAGGTAGGTAGGTAGATAGATAAGTAGATAGATAGATAAGTAGGTATGTAGATAGATAGATAGATAAGTAGATAGATAGATAGATAGATAAGTAGGTATGTAGATAGATAGATAAGTAGATAGATAGGTATTTAGATAGATAGATAAGTAGATAGATAGAAAGAAAGAAAGAAAGAAAGAAAGAAAGAAAGAAATTTACTGGTCGCCTCCCTCTGTCTTTTTTAAGAAATATTTCTACGGTAACTGCTCTGATGAGCTGCATTCGCTGGTTCCCAGACTTCATGAATTTAAGCGTTCAACTAGGTTGGCATTACGCTCTCACCCCTTCACTGTCGAAACTGTTAAATGCAGCCGTCTCTTCTACTCCAATAGCTTCATGTCGCCCAATTCTCGCCTGTGGAACTCCCTCCCCATTTCTTGTTTTCCTGGTACCTATAACCTCCAACTATATAAATGTAATGTCAATCGGCGTCACCAGATGTCATGATCTTTCCCCTATCCTTTTCTTCATCCTTTCATCACTCCTCTTTGCTCTCACTTCAACTTTCTGTAACCCCTTGCGTGCTAGTGGCTTCCCGCCTTGCTTGGGGTGAAACGCTAAAAAGAAAAGATAGATAGAAAATTGGACTTGGGTAGATAGAACGATTGAAAGAAGTGAACTTAAGTAGATAGATAGATAGATAGAAATTGGCTCAGACAGAAATGTACTCAGATAGAGAGATAGATATATAGATATAGTCTCAGATAGATAGATAGATAGATAGAAATTTATTCATATAGATAAAATTTGACACAGATAGAATGATATATAGATAGAATTTGACTCAGAAAGATAGATAGATGAATGGATCGAAGCGAGCTTAGAAATAGAATCAGATAAATAGATAGAAATGGAATTAGATAGATAGATAAATAGATAGATAGAAATGAACTCAGATTAACAAATAGATAGATATATTGACAGAAAAGGACATAGATTGATGTATAGTTACATAGAAATTGCCTCAGACAGATGGATAGAAATATACTCAAATAGGTAGATCGACAGATAGATATATAGGACTGAATTTAGATATTTACTCATATAATTAGATATATAGAATTGGATTCAGGTAGACAGAAACAAATGGAATCAGATATATAGAAATGGATTTTTGTAGATAGATAATTAGAAAGAAAGAAACGGACTTAGAAACGTAGATAAAAACGGACGTAGACAGTAATGACATTAAATTGATACATAGAAACAGATTTATACAGTCAGATAGAAACTGACTTAGATATGTAGATATAAAGATGTCAATGGATCCGATGCAATATCATTTGTTTAGATGCTTTCAATGAATCACGTACATCGTTTACGTAGATAATTTTCTTTTGAAATTAACGCTCTTTCAGAGGACGCTTGATAATCAGCTTAAAATGTCAGACTTTTTTTAAAAAAATCGAAACTTTCTAATCTACAATGAACAGGCAATATAGCAGGGCTTTTCCTTGATTTATTCTTCATACAAAACATGAAATATATTCTTGAACAATTATTTTATATTAACGAATGAAAATCTTCTGGACTTTAATTAAAATCATGCTTAGGAATCAATGATAAATTTAAAAAAAAAAGAAAACAATGATATAACGAATATTACTCGGACAATAATCAATAATAGTGCTGTTGAAGAACACCGGATACTGACAGCTTGCTGGCTAATTTCCTTCTCTTGACACCGCTTCCACTCACCATTTTTCCATTCATCATCAATAAATTACGTATACCTGTCATCATTAACAATGTTTAAATTCTATATTTCAAATAAATGAAATTAGGAAGACTCATGATTTTTTTTATGGTTTACTTATTTGAATTTTCTGATGGATCTTTTTTCTAAAGTTAATGATCGAAGAAGCTCCTTGTGCGTTCCATGGATGTAGTATTGTATAAGAGTAGATAGGTTCGCCCTTCGCCCGGTTTATACTCTTCCCTGGTCTTAAATTTATATACATTTTCTTTTCATTTTACAATGATGTACAAACCAAAGAGCCGCTCGGCGTAGAGTTACATTGTATAGGACACTGTTTATAAGGATATGGAGGGGTTATAATGGTTAGCCCTAGATACATAAAAATATCCTCGTGAGAATCGTTTCCGAAATGCAGTGGCTCGTTCCTGTTTAGGACTGGCTTTCCGGTTCAGACTAAATTTTTTTCACTTTCTTTTTCTATCGGTAGGCCTCTTGTGCCATAATGGCATTATCTCTTTGCTTGCGGTGAATCGAATAAAAAAATAAATAAATAAATAAATTAAAAATAAAACAACCATGGAATCTCCCCTATTGCATCGATGAATATTTGAGCCTAACAACTTAAAAATAAAACAATTGCAATAACCATGAGAAATATGAATGGAAGTTATGATTTAAAGAAGTAGGAGGGTACAAATGAAAAGATTTGAAATTTTCAAGTTTTTTTTTTGTTTGTTTTCATTTCAATGAAAGAGATATTAAAAATATTCGAGCATTATCGTCTCTTTTATTTTCTCTTTCTTTCGTTCTTCTTTTCCTTTGTTTGAATGCATGCCAAGATTCAAAGAAGTGAGAGATTTTAAATCGGAAGGTGTTTTTTTTTTTCATGTCAGTGAAGGAAACGTTAAAAATATGAGAGTGCTATTGCCTTCTCGACCTTCCTTTCTTTCTTTCATATTTCTGATGCATGTTATGATTTAAAGAAGTGAGTGGTGCAAATAAAATTATTTGAAAATGACAGGTTTTACCATTTCACTGAATTTGAGGTTAATCCCGCGCATCCTCTTTATTCTGTTTCGATTTTCACACTTCTCTGATAAGTCTTTTCCGGGAGTAGTTGCTAACAAAATACGTAGAGAATGGGGTTGGTTCGCTAAAGGTGTGTGGCTTGGCGGGTCTTAGCCGTGAATGTTAGAAATGGTGGTACTAAGGAATATAGTACATCTGAGCACAATCAATTGAAATAGTAATAGGACAGCGAGTGGCTGCGATGTTTCGTCTTTGACAATTTAACATCCCAAACATACACTTTGAGTTGCCTCTTTTGCTGACAAATTAAGATGTCAATGTGGTTGATGCCAGGTTATTAGTTAAATCGTTATTTTGAGGTTATTGTTTAAATTGTTATTATGAGGTTATTATTTAAACTGGTAATAAAAATGAGAACTCCGTTAGTTATTTTGTTTTCACGCCTTGCCAATAAAATTGGACTACTCAATATTGTTTGCAATACGGAAAAATTGGATCTTTTTTCTAATTAATCTCTTTAGATCTAAATTAAAAGGAGGAACTTTCTCCTAGATCCAGTTTTCCTCTCTACTGTTGCCTCTTTTTAAAAGATAATCACCGTTTTCTTGATGCTTCTTGAAATGACATTGAAGATGGAAGCCAGAGAACGAATGTTGGTGCCATTACTGAAGGCCTGAATGATTTTTTTCCTCTCGCCATTGATCAGTTGGAAAGAGAGTGTGATTGACACAAAACAATTTTAATCAGTTCTTTTTCTAGCTGAATAATAATTGGCGTTCCAGTGATTCTTACAACAAATGGTGTCAAGATACCTAAAAGTCTTAGCTGAATACCTAGAAAGAATAAACAATTAGTTTAGTGTATTTTTAGATATTAAACATGGGATGGAAAATTCTGCAGTTACATAATTTGGACTATTTTGCAGTTATACGCGGTATTCTATTGATCCGTTCATTCGCCATTATACTTTGCTTAATTTCTATAAAGCATCTTTCTCTTTTTATGTGAGCCTTCACATTTCTGTATATTATCTTTCATCTTCCGTTGAAGTAAAATTATGTATATTTTATTTGCGTTTTACTGTTATATACACCCTGTTTTAACCAAAGAGCCACTCGGTTACATTGTAAGAGGCACTCTTTATGGGGATATGTGGGATAATGGTTAGAAATAGTCGTTAACAGGTTGAGATTGTAAGAGGTGTTCTGCACTTCTCAAAACTTCCAAACCCCCGATTAGAGATCTTTCTACCTCTTGTAGTTTATCGTTATACCTAACTTATAACTTATAGTTATATCCAGTAATTTCAACAGGAAAATGATGATGGCAATCTATGACGGCTTTTAAATTACTTCATTCCCGGTACTAAAGACCAATTATTTCTTTCCACGCAATATTGTTAATGGTGCCTCATGATAATAGCGATATTTATGGCAGGCAAAGCTCAATCAGTACATCAATGTTTCTTTAGTCTTTTCTTTGATTGCGTCCGTGTCTGTATAGTAAACTTAGCAGTATGATAAAGTATAATAAAATTATACAAATAGAGGAACAGAAGACGAGACGTTGTGGAGAACAATGATCTGTCATAAATCTGTCATTTTGAATGCTTTCCATGAAGTCGTACAAATTCAGAAAATGATCACCTTTCGTAGAATAACTCATGTTTCCTTCGTAAGTCATTTCACTTCCATATGATGAAATTGGTGGCTGATCTAAAAAAAAAATGAATTACAGTGCAAAGAATTCTAGACTAACAAAGTGAAAAGACTATATTGAATCCATTGCTACTTCTACTGCTAAGAAATTCGGTTTCCCATATCGTTTTTCTCCAAAAATCTTCTTACATATCTATAAGTCTACCATTCTTCCATGCTTCGAATATTACTGCCACATAGAGTCAGGTACTCTTGTTTTGTATTTAGAGATTCTTGATAAAATCCAAAGAAGAATCAGAAATATTGGTGGTCCTTACTTGGCGTCTCGAATTCAGTCACTTTCTCACGGCCCTAAAGTTGCTCCACTGTGCCATTTCTATAAATATTTTCATGGTAATTGTTCGGATGAGCTCTTTGCTAAGATACCCAGTATTTATGAATTTAAGCGCAGTACAAGATTAGCAACCTCGTCTTATCAATTCCCGGTTGAATTATTTAAATGCAACCGCAAGTTCTATGCTAACAGTTTCTTTTCTCGCACTTCTTCAAGCTTCCGTCTCTTAGCTTTTGATCCAATTTTGATTTTCAAAAATTTTAATAAAGTATCAACTGTTATCTACTGTCCACCTGATCACTCTTTTATGGATCTTGTTCCATAATAATTGTTGTGGATTCCGAGATGAAATTCGGTCTCCAATAAATGACAAACGCAAGAAATAAAGATAAGAAATTAAATGTATTTACACAATAATACAATGGGTAATTCTGTTAGTAAATCCAGGAACGCGGTTAGTCGTAATATATATATATATATATATATATATATATATATATAT